AAAAAAAAAAAAAAAAAAAAAAGACTCTTCTTGGATTTAGGGTCCACCCTAAAACAAGACAATCTCCCCTTCAAATCCTTAACAAAATTATGGTCACAAAGGCTCTTTTCACAAAGAAGGCCACATCCACAAATCCTACCAGATATATTTAAAAGACAGCCCAATGCAACTGCTACACAGAGCAAGCTCAAGAAGACAGAGAAAGAGACAGAGAGAGGCACTGCTGAGCTATAATGAGCCTCAGTAATGCTAGGCAGGCAGTTAGATAAACCTAAAGTCTCATGTGTGTGTCAGTGGTGGGAAATCAAGCACCTTCAGTAAGGGGATGGAAATGCCCCAGGGAACACCTGTTTTGGGCAAAGAAAGGAGGATTAGGGTGGAGAAAATTGAAACTTTAGAGGCAAAATGGAAATAAGGAGCTCATAAGAAAAGATGATCCGGGTGGCTTGAAACTACCTAGGCAATAACTCAAAGGAAGGCAGGGGTTTAGAAGGAAAAAAAATCAATGCAGTGAAAACAGCGAAAGCAGCCAAGGGGAGAAATCCCAAGCAACAGGTCTAAGATTCTGTGTGCAGAGATGCTTTGAGTTGTTAGTGAACACTGTTTCAAGTGGGAGTTGGGGGTGACGCATGGAAGACATTGGCAACATTTTCATCAACTTTGGTTGTGAAAGTGAAAAGAGAGATGGGCTTTTTTCAGAAAGAGCAAGAGATGAAAGTAACTTGAGCTGAGGAAGAAAGCCCAGGGAAGAAAACGACTCAGAGGTGAGCCAGCCACAGTGAACCCAGTCAGTGAGGCAAAGAGAGGGAATCAGATCTTAGAGGTGGTTACATGTACCACACAGGAAGGGCTTGGGCTCCCTTTTTGGCGCGCAAGTGGAGTTTTAGTGGGGGAGGGTGTGCGTAGGTACTGTAGCTTCTGGGTGTGAAGGCAGGAAGTTGGGGATAGGATCTGCTGGCATCTGTTTTCTCTGTGAAGTAGCAGATATGGTTATCTTCAGGGAAGGAGTGGGAAGTGGTGGGATGGGACTTTGAGAATTGTCACGAAGGTTTTAAATAGCTGCTATGGATGAGAGCATTGACTGGAGAAACAGAAGGACTGCTTGGCGGCACTAGGCTGGAGAGCATAGATGTTCTCAGGCAGCAGTCTGCACTGTGGTGTCCCTTTCCTTAGAGGTCTTTGTGAGGCTCTGAGATAGCTGCAAGGATGAAGAATCAGGGATAGCTGAGAAAAATCCAGAAGAGACAAAGGACATGGGGAAGAAGATGGGAAGGATGGACCCACGAGTCCAGGTTGAATAAGGAAGCAGGAATAGAGCAGGTGTCTTAGTCACTCTCCTATCACTGGGACAAAACACCCAACACACACAGTTTAAAGGAGAAGAGGTTCTTTTTAGCTCATAGTTTCAGTCCACGGTCGGCTGGCTCCAAGGCAGAAATGATGTGGTGGAAAGGCCTGGTGGAGGACAGCTGCTCACATCATGGAAACCAGGAAGCAGAGAGAGAAGAGCGGAGAATGCGGAGGGAGATATGCCTCTAGGCACCCACCTCTTCTGACGAGGCCCCACCTCCCAACAGCAGATTGATGGAAGACTCATCAGAAGATGAATCCACTGATGAATACCGTGCCCTCTTGACCCAATCCCCTCCCCAAAGCCCCAACTCTGCACCCAGGAGACCCTGTGGGACATTCTAGATCTAAACCCAAACAGCAGGTTGACAGGAGAGAGCAGAGGGGTCAAGGTGCTGATACTATCACACATGAAAGGATCTGGGGTAGGGAGAAAACCACGGCTCCAGAAACATAAAAGGCTGAGGGCTAAGAATTTGAATTTAAGAAAATTTGAGGGGCAGCAGCTCCGGGTGCTCAGAGTATCAATGGGTGGAAAATAGTAGACCAAGGAACAAGGAAGCTTTTGTCTAAGCCTAAGGACCTGGAGTCATGTGGAAGTGATTTATTCATGTGGAAAGAGTATTCTCAGTGAAGAATGCTCAGCAGGAAGTGGTTTTGCCTAGAGATCAGCTTTAGCCTATTTTCTGGAGAACAAATTGTGCCATAAAACTGGCACAGTTGGCCCTTGAAGCAAGAAGTTAGCATTTTGGGGCTCCATGCCAGGCTGCTGTTGGCCACTGGTACAGTGTGGCCTCATTTGATCAAGGGAAACTCTCCAGAGAAAGGAGAAGATGGAAGTGGCTGCCAGCGGATATTCATACCGCTTAGGAGGTGGACATCTAAGAAAGGCACCACCAGCATCCACCAAAGACACAACCTCACCTCCTTGTCCCATATGCATGGATTTAAGGAGTGGTAGCAGATGCAACAGGAATAAAGAGGTGCTACAGATGTGTCCTCATGGTGATAAGGCTTCCACTTCTGCAGGAGATGGGTTATCCAGTGAAGACCCAAGGATAAGGGAACTGTGAAGGTCCTGAGGGCAGAGGGGCAAAGTCTAGAAGGAGAGGCAAGGATAGGCCCCACTCCATTCTTCCCATCTCTCCTCATTAAGTGTAATGAGGAGCGGCAGTCAGCACAGCAGGCACCAGTTACGATTTCCCCGTATTCCAGAAAAAGAGCCAAGTCCTTCGAGAGGGTTTATAAACACGATGATTCCTTGGCTTTAGGTGGGTGATGGGGAAAAATGGTTCCATCCTCTCTCCCATGAGTGATACTCAGCAAAACACAACTCCCTCTGAAGACATTTTTTTTGTCCACACCTCTACCTTCCTTTCTGCTATGGAAGGTAAAACCAACTTTGCAGTCTCTTCCTATGCCCTCCAGGATTCTCTGCCACCGATTTTTAGTGTCGTCCTTTGAGGCCTCACCGCAACAAAATTGATACCGGTGTCTCTGATTAACATTTAATATTTTAAAAAATAAATGTTATTTTCTTTTATCCCACTTAATATTTTTTATGTAATTGCAGAGCCCATGGATCATCCCAGAGAACCTTACAGATAGCAGCCAGGCTTCTGGGATCAGGGAGAGGCTCCAGGCTTTCCGGTGAGTAACAGAGGGAGGCTTGTAGTCCTATCTCATACCCTCAGATGCCATAATCACCCTGTATCTCAATCCACACTCTCTGACTCTTGCTGTCTGATTTAATTCATCTTGAAGAATTTATTAATGCAGTATGTTTGAGCATGTCTATGTGTAAATGCCTGTGTGTCTGTAGGCTGTCAGAGCCTTCCCCGCCCCCCAAAAAATGCTGCTGTCTAGAAGGCTCTGACTGCAAGGAGACCAAGAGGGGATAGGTCATCACTGAGGCCAACACGAAGAGTTTGGTTTGTCCACAAAAACACGCCTTGTGGTTTGCCCCACAATCCACTGTGGGTTCAGTACTGTGTAACTTCTTACTCCCCCCTTAGAGTTTTTGCCTCTCCTTCCCTCACTCCACCCTCCCTCCCCGCAACACGAGGATGTTTAAATTCTGGAAGGAGCGCTCCCATCTGCTCACATCACTATGGTTACTGGGCTCAGAGTGGTCTCTGCAGAGACAGAAGCAGAACAGTAACCAGGGACGACAGAGCCAGAGGCTGGGGAAGTGAAGCTATTTTAAGCCACCAGTTAGACTGGAGCGGCCATCCTCATGTAATTTCTTCCATTCTGTTTGCTTGTTTGTTTGTTTTGACGTGGCGTGACCGATTTAAGTCCTTCGAGTGAAAAAAGGATGATGCAATTTAGAAATTCTCTGACCACATTTTCTAAAGTCATTGTTGAGAGCGCGTTGCATCCCACATGGGAGCTGAGCGGCGAGGGCGGAGCGATGCTGGAGAACACACCTGAGCCCGCATTCCGTGGGAAAGGGACGGCCCGGGATGGTCCCGGGTGCAGACTGGGGAAGGAAGACTGAGGGGAGAGAGGTGGTGAGCTCCGAGGTCACACAAGTGCTGCGTGAAATTTCTGACCCTCAGCTACCTGAGTGTACACCTCCAAGAGGCGGAGGTTCTGTGCCTGCGGGTGGACTGGACGCGCTCGCTCTAGTTCCTGTACGGAAACCCTAGGCTTTTTATTAGCACGTGTTTGCAGTGCATACTGATGCCGTTCATCGCGGGGAGTTGAGACATGGGCATAACACATCTCGGTCCTTCTCTTTACTTCCCTCCCCCATCTCTAGATCTCTTCCCTGTTGGCAAAGATCTAGCTCCCTGTTTCCTATTATCCAGCCTTTATTTTGCTCTTTGAATTATTTATACTTTGTGTTTCTCATATGAGAGAAACCATGAGATATTCATGCTTGTGTGCCTGAATTTATGTCACTTCAGATTATGGTCTCAAGGTGCATCCATTTTCCCACAAATAACCCCAGCTTATCCTTCTCTATGGCAGAAACCCTGCTCTTACTATGATGGCATTTGAAGATGGGGTCTTTGGCCAGTGATTAGACTATTAGGGAAGAAGCACTTTGAGAACATAATGTTAAGTGAAATAAATGAGACACGCAAGCTTAAATATCTTATACTTTATCTTATATGAGAAACTCAATATAGAAATAAAGTAGGAAATAAAAGATGGTTAATAGGAAGCAGAAAGAGAGCTTTCTCAAATAGGAAGGGGATGAAGAGATAGAGGAAAGCGTAGAGAGGGGAAGGAAAGGGGATAGAAAAGGATTAGGATGTGTTATGTCCATGCACCAACTCCACACATAAACATTATGTACTGCAGACCTGCACAAAACAAAATATGAGCGTTAGAAGAAGAGGTGTTGAACTTCCACGTGAGGCTTTGCTTTGACCTTGGGAGGACCCAGAAGCCATTTCTGTGTCTATGAAATGAGCAAGGTGGCAGGAAGTTGGGGTGCAGCAGAGCATCTCAACTCTGGCTGCAGTTGGGAACCACCTAGAACTGTAAGAAAAACACCCACGTCTGGCTCCAAATGCCACACAGGAACTCAGAACCCTTGAGAGTACAGCTTAGTGGTAGTTTCAGAGTATTCCCAGGTGAGGTTAGCCATCAGGTTGACATCTCTGGCCTAGAAGAGCTCCAGGACTCCTTCTGTCCTTAGCAGTAACTCCGCAAGCAAACGAGGTAGAACTAGTATACAAGAGGAAAATGCAGATGACACACGTGTGTGATCAGTGGGTAGGAGGCACGGCCGCCCAGGTTCCTGCCACCAGCACTGCACCCACATGGCAGGCATGTTCAGGGCTGAGAGAGTCCCGAGCTGGCACAGCTCTGTGCTAAGCCAGTGAGCTGGCACCACAAAACCCGGGCGGTGTTGCCATAAACCAGCTGTGTGGGAGGAAGCAAGTTTCTTTGTATTCATAGCTCATCATTTGTACGACACAGCAGGTAATACTTTAAAAGGTTAGAATGCAGACCAGGAGCCCATGTAAAATCAGGCACAAGCAATGCACCGAGTCCTGGAGCATGTGCAACCTTGAGTGCGCTACTTAACCCCTCTCAGGTTTGGCTTCTCACCTGTAAAATGGGAAGAATATGGCAGCTCAAAGTATGGAGGGCTCACCGAGCGAATCTATATAAAATAGCTTTATTTATGTGAGTTTTTGCACAAATGCTTCTCCTTTACATTGCCTGCCTTTATTACACACCCATACATGTTGGCGTTTATGGGGAACATTAAACATTACAAATCAGAGGCCAGATCCAGTGCCTTCCTGAGAGTTCTTCTCAGCCACTGAGTGTGGGCCTTGAGGAGCCAAGTGTGCCTTTGACATGGAGGGAGGAGGTGGGTGGTGTAGTATTTATTCATCAGGATATCGAGTAGGGCCTGTTGGAAACAGAGACAGCGCCAAAGGGTCAACGGTATTAACCATTGGGCAGCATGGCCTGGAACTGTTGTGGAGGTTTTTAAATACTAGGTGTGAAGTTGGGGCTTTTCACATACAGTTTCCATACATTCTTAACTACTAAGTTTTAACTCCAAACAAATCTTACAAGAAATTTGATCGTATACAATAAATAGGAATGAAGTTCATGAGTTGTGGTATGGGTAGGAGTCTAGAATTCCTTTCGTAATATGCTCTTCATAGAGTGGCTAATCCCTCAGCAACACTTGTAGGGCTTCTAAGTTCTGGAGAATACACTCAGTATCCACCACTGGGAGGAATAACCATCTAATAGGATGCAGGAGTCAATTTTTATATTCCTCATTGTTATGATTTGTATCTAGAGGTCCCCCAAAGCCTCATGCACACATAGGCAGGGCTTTTCGGAGGTGGCTGGATCATGGGTGTGTAGTACTGGATTAGTCCATTAATTGGCTTAGCATAGTTCTGGGTATGGATAATGGAAGACCATCCTGGGTGTGGATGGTACCAACCAATAGGCTTGTAGCCTTCATGGGATAAAAGGGCAAAGGAAGGTTTGCTGCTAGCAGCTTCCTGCCTTCTATACCATGGACTGTTTCTTCTCCGCCATGCTGCCCTGCCTTGGAACCAGCTGACTATGGACTGAAGTCTCTATGAACTGTGAGCCAAAAATAAACTTCTCCTCCTTTAACTTGTGGATGTCAGGTATTTTTTCCAGCAACAAGAAAGTAACTACGGTACTCACGCACCATGCAGTGTACAACTGCAGGCTAGATGATGAGGGGAACAAAGACACAATCCTTGGTATCTGTATAAAGTCAGAGATAGAATCTTGAACTGTAATCTTTGGACCTGAGCTGCTTTTTTGTTTTCAGGGTGATTTCAATCATATACTATTTCTCAGAGCTGTTAAGGGGAAATCGTAGCTTACCTATGATTGAGGGAAAACATGTATTATCCTGGTATAAGAATGCTAGCTAAAACACAATTCAGAATATGTTACTGGCTTATTCAAAACGTGCCTGTACTAATTGGTAGGAAGGTGGGTCAGTGGTGACACGGGTGGCTCTGCTGCGATCAGCTTAGCTTAGCCACAGACAATGGTTCCTCATGTCTTCTCATTCTCGGACCAGTAGCTTCCTGGGTGTCAGTAAAGAGTAGGAATGAAAGAAGCTGTAGATCAAGGTAGACACTTACCAACCCCCGCCCCCATATTCCATCAACCCACATGAGTCACAGGAGTCCAAGTCAGTGGAACAGACAACATTTACCCAAAGGGAGGATTCAGTAAGAGAAGTAGAAACGGGCAGGGCAGAGTGGTCTACAGATGACACTGTCTGCCACAGAGGATGATGAGAAGTCTGAGCAGGTACTGACCCGGGTGCTGCTCTGCTGTTCGCACTCTTCCACATCCTGCCATGGTCTACTCCTCCTGCAAGCCTCCCCCAGGTTGAAAGGGTGCCCTGGCTCCCTGACCGTCTCCAGGCTCGACCCGGCCTTCTCTTGACTGTCTCCTTAGGGAGACGAGCAGTAGGTTTAAACACTGGGTTTCCCTTGGTGCCCAGCACAGTGGGCACAAAGCAATGCTCAATCCCAGTAAACTACTTCATGTGGCTGGAGGACGTATCCAGGACACTTCCCTAGGAGAGCAGATCATGATGACAAGCTAGGGGGGCAACCCACTCTCTCCTCCATATTAGCAAGGGCTGTGAGATGGAGAGGACCAAGGATCTGGAGCAAGAGACTCACATTCAAGTGAGGGCTCACCAGTCACCGGTCCTGTAACCTTGGGCGTGTTGCCCTGTCTTGCAGGGCCTCTGATCCTTATCTATAAAGTGGAAATAACAGTAATCACATTGTAGTATGATTATTATTTTTTAAGGATACTACTTGCAGCCCTGTCTCAATGCCTTTGAACTTGTTCTCCCACCCAACACATTGTTCTCCACTTTCCTGTGTGACTGTGGCTCTTTCCCACTTCGGTCAGTTCTTCCAAAGTGTCTTCTCATTGGCGAGCTGTTCCAAGCCATTTCATACAACACAGCACTCACTCCATGATCACATTCTCTTTGCCCTGTTTACATTCCGTGTTGTACTTACTAGCACTCAACGTGTATTCCCTTGTTTGTTTACATGCTTAATTATTGTCTGTGTCCCTTCCCCAACATAATGGGACATTATGGGGCCAGGACATTGTAGTCTTAACAGTTTCATCAT